ATAAGGTATAGCTTATCAGGTTTTAAAGCTACTATGATTATTTATTGCCTATAACGTTGTGGTTGAGATCCTAGTAGCATGTCATTTTCTCTCCCAAGGAGGAGTTAATGGTAATGCACCTAATGTCCCTATGTAAAATAGTTTATGAGCTTTAAATCTATTTAATTATTTGTCGCATGTGATACTAATATGTTGCATAATTTGTTTCAAACAGTCTCTAATACAGTGAACAATAATAATGTCACGACCGAGATTTTGACAGGGAACAATTTTAAGAGATGGAAACATGATATTGAGTTTGCCCTGGGAATGTACAACAAATCATGTTATTGATAAAAAAAATTTCATGTTTCAATAATTTCCATGATTTATAATTTATTTTTGTTATTTTATATATACATGAATAGTTGTACATAAGCATGAATACTCAATCCTGGTATTCACTCACAAGCAAACCCAGCCTTAATCGACACGATCGAACTGAACATTCTGCAACTTACATTCATTTTTGTTACACTATAGATATCTTGCTCTCTCTACTGCATTTGTACACATTATCTCTCTCAAAATGGTTCTTAATGTCAGAAAATTAGGTCTTCCAAGCTTTGTTCTACTAGGAATAATTCTTGCCTTGGCAATTATTCCCAGCAATGTAATGTGTCAATACTGTAATTGTGCCCCTGGACTTTAAAGAATGTTCGAAACTATCTTTTTTTTTTTTTTTAAATTTTATTTAAGTCTTTTTATTTTATTTTATCGTAATTTATATTTTTGTGGTTATTCTTCTTAATTCATGCATTTCTGTTGAAATTTCAGCAAATAGGGGTGCATGCAGATCTTTCTAGGGAGTGATTTGTAACATGTCAAAATATTTATTATACGTTTTAAGGGGGTGAAGTGTGATAGCTGGTTCCTAGAGGGTGCATATTAGAGCCTTGACCAGCCATAAGTTGGGGTGAAATCAAGTCCAGTCGAGTCAGTTTCTGATATATCGAACTCGACTCGATCACTACAGTATCGAGTTCAAGTTCAAGTTCGAGTTTGAGCCTAAGAAATCAAGTTTGAAATTGAACTCGGTATTTGAAATTGGAAATCAGCTCGAATTTGAGTTCATATAATTGAGTTTTTTTTTTCAAGTTTTAGTCAAGTTTTAATCATATTCGAGTTCGAACTTGATTTCGAGCTCATCTAATAAGGGTGGATTTGCAAATTTTATAACTTTTAAATTACATATGACCCTTGTTACTTTAAAAACTATCAACTTAACCATTGAGTTTGGAAATACTCGAAAATATATCGAGTCGAGTTCTATTGTGATCGAACTTGACTTGATTAACTACTCAAACTCGAACTCAACTCGAATAATACCTAGTCGAGTTCGAGCCAACATCGAGTTGAGTTCAAATAGCTCGCGAGTGGCTCCACTCAATTTTCAACCATAGCCATAAGTGTGGGATTTGAGCTGCACTCTACCAGGGAAGGGCCAACGAGGACGTTGGGGCCGAAGTTGTGAAAGTGTGAAGTGCCATATAAGTGATGGTTCCTTGCCCACCTATGAGGCGCCTTTTGTAGTTTGGGCTGCAAGAGGACAAAACAGTAAGGCCTGTGAGCTCCAATGGGTTGGGCTAGAGCAACCAATACCTTGCAAGGGAGGTGAGGGATCACAGTGCCATATTGTTTGCCTCTATTAGACGAGTGTTAGAGTAGACATATCTGTAAAAAGCAAGGTTTTTTATAAAAAGGTGTAACACGAGAACTTATCAGGAGATTATCCATCCTAATATTGTTCGAAGTTAACCATCACAATATTACTCCGTATCAAGCATGACTAATTTTGGATTTATTAAGGTTTTGATTAATATCAATGGCATCTCCTTTTGATTTTGATTAGAAATATAACGAGTATAATAACACCTTATATTGAGTTTTATCTCTATTGAATTGGTTTTAACATTGACTAATAATTCTGGTAGGTGAAATTTTCATGAATATGTATACAATAATGTTTTGCTTACAACTGAATCATACAACTGAGTTATACAAACATATAAAAATTACACAAAATTTATGTAAAATGACTATTTTATCTTTTGTTTTTTGTCTATTTATATGATTCAGTTATTTGACTCAATTGTAAGCATAGTATTGTTCTTATATATATATATTTATAGAAAAAGGATCACCTTATACAAGTTATTTTGCAAAGGATTCAACATTTTTAAAGGGCCCCAGCACCTCAAATTATTGGAAATATTTAATTTAGTGTTATTAATATATATTAAGTTAAAAGTTTAACTTACTTGATATATATTAGGTAAGAAACCATAACCGTTGGTTTTCTAGGATCTCTCCTATAATTAATTTTTCAGAAAACAAGACATGTTGATGAAAGTGGACCACGATACTATATTACGATTCTAATGAAATTTACTTAGCCATGTGCATGAAATTAATTGCGTGGACAAAAAAAAAATCATTGACTTATCAACCGTTGAATTTCTTTCAGAAAAGAGTACTAATGAAGGCACATAGAAGTACACTGAAAAGTTCAATCGAGGAAATGTTGTCATAAAAATTCTCTTGTATTTAAAATGTAAAATTTATTATAATATTGTAATATATAACAAATCTATAAACTCATGCATGCTATGTGATTTTTTTTTTTAAAAAAAAATCACCTATTATAATATTTGTATTAGAAAAAATATAGATGTGTAATTAATATAATATATTAAACTTAATTATTATCGAAAATGATAGAGTCACTGAAGGTTGTGCACCGAATCTGTGCACCGAATGACATGGCAAAATCCTGACCGTTGATTAATATTAACTGATAATGAATAAACGGTCAGGATTTTGTCATGTCATTCGGTGCACAAATTCGGTGCACAACCTTCGGTGGCTGTAGCATTACTCAATTATTATATAACTGATGTGGTAATTCTGTCTCAAGGACCAGTTAAAATCTCTAATTCTTTGTTTCTTTTTTCTTTACAACTTGTTGGAAATAGGGTTACGAAAAATAGTCCAAAAACCGAACCGAACCGGTGAATCGGATCGAAACTGGTCCAAAAAATTGGTTAATTGGAAAACTAGTTTTAGTTTGGAAAATAGGCCAAACTACTTTTCCGGTTCGGTTACCGATTTTTGCAATTTTCCAAACTGGTTTTTGGAACTGATTATCTTTAAAAACCCTAAAAAAGTAATAAGCCCTAAAGTAAAAGTCAAACTCTAAAATAGTGAGTAAAACCATACTTTATTACTTTTACTAAAAGTGTAAATCCCTAACACTACAAACTCTCCTTCTCACCGCCGCCGTCACCTACTATGCTACTCACCTTCTCTTCTCAATTCTCAAACTGAAACTAAATCCCTAAGGCCTAACCACTACAGACTCTCCTTCTCGAGATCACCTATTCTGTTACTCACCTTCTCTTTTCTATTTTTGCCGTCACCTACTCACCTTCTTTTCTCCATTCTCAAACTGAAACTAAATCCCTAAGGCCTAAACACTACAGACTCTCCTTCTCGCCATCACCTATTCTGCTACTCACATTCTCTTCTCCATTTTCGCCGTCACCTACTCACCTTCTCTTCTTCATCGCTGTCGCCTTCTCGTGTTCACCATTCTCAATGTTGCTATGTATTTGGATTTTGGTTGCATTGTTTTGGCTGCTAGAAAATGGAAATCTTGTTATGTATTTGGCTGCATTGTTTTGGTTTAACAATTTTTTTATGTTGCTGCATTGTTTTGGTACTACTACTAGGAAGAATACTTTTGGCTGAATTCATTGGAAATGCCTTAGTTTTGATTTCAATTTTAAGATTATTCATATAGATTACATATAATTATAGAAATTACTTACAATTTTTGTGAAAATGGTCTTTTTATGTTATGTGTTAACCGTTTTTGGAGATGAGAAATGAGCATATTATTAAATTCAAATAAGATTTAATATTTTTTGTGAAAACCGGTTTATAACCCGATTAACCGCTAACCAAATTGAAAATTCGGTTCGGTTAGTAACCGGTTCAAGGGATAAATCGGTCCGGTTTTGGTTTGCAATATCCCTTGAATCGAATAACTGGTTCAGTTAGTAATATGGACAATCTGGTTCGATTAACCGGATTTCCACACCCCTAGTTGGAAGACTATAATAGCTTTGATGGTGTGCCACAACCCACAAGTTACAAAGAGTCAACTTTTCAAATCTAGGAAGATCAAGTAGAAAACTATACTGATTTCACATTAAAATCTACATACCCTTTGTTTACATTGCCTTTTGTTCTTGTGTTCACAACTTGACATTAACTCAACCCCGTAGACTTCACTCACAAGGAGACCCGGGATCAACACGATCCAACTAAAAATTTTGTAGCATAATTATATATGTGGAATATTATATTTGTCAAACATATGAGTTGTGTGTGCACATTGGTTGCCAATCTTATGATTTGACTTGTTTTCTTTGCTGTGTGTGCACACATTGTGCACACATTGTTTTTGCGTGCACATTGGTTGCCAGACTTGTGTCTTGGCTTGGTTCGTTTTGACTGTGTGTGCACAACAGTTTGTGCTTACACTCTCGCTTAAGATATTTGCAACCTAGCATGAGTTGCATGTCTGATAAAGTGAAAAAGATATTGTTTATCTTTGTCTCTAACTTGTTAGAACCTTTTACATGTGTCATAGTATCCTTAAGTGGTCCTAGGGAATAAAGTTATCTTTCCCCGATTTGTTTTGTGGTCTAAACCAAAAGAAGAAATATTTTCCTTATTTGGACAAACATGGGTCAGCCCCTTGTTGGCTGACGTGACACTAATGTGTTGAGCAAGAAACCCTATACTATATATCATCTCATCTTGCATCTTTGAATCTAACCTTTTGATCTTTTATTTCATTGTATTCTAAAATTTCTTAGAGTATTCTTTTTCTTAAGGTTCATAGGTTCATTTCCATTGTGTGTCAAAACCTCACCATATCAATCATTGACTTGATGGCTCTTGGAACATGGTTCTTTTGCTAATGCTAGTGCCTGGCATTGGTGCTTGAAGCTTGGTGGTTCACAAACTATTCTCAGGTGTGTTCCCGATGTGAAGAAGGTTCAAGGAGTTGCTACACGTTAAAGATTCAGAGTGCGATGCTAAGTGTAAAGTTGAACAAGGAGTTATTTTTATAGTATCTTAGATCAACTTTAAATATTATTTTGTAATATGTTTTTAACTTAGTGGATTGCTTCGATCTGGACAAGGTCTCATAGATGTAGGTTAAAAGTGGATTTTAGCCGAACCATGTATATGGATGTGTTCTTTATTTTCCACACTTGTGTTTGATGTGGTTAAATTGAAAATGTCTTAATCAATTTGATAATACTTTCATTGCACTTAAAATAGGTAATCATACGCTAAAGTGAGTTAACCAACAACTTACTATCCAACAATATACACACTTGTTATACTATAAATAGCTTGCTCTTTCAATTGCATTTGCACGCATTATCATTATCTCTCTCAGAATGGCTCTTAATCTGAGAAAATTAGGTCTTCCAAGCTTTGTTCTAGCGGGGATAATTCTTGCCTCAGCAATATTCCCACTACTTGTGTTGATGTGGGTAGTATTGTGACTTCTGAGTTCTTTGATGGGATCAAGAATCAAGCCGCACCAGATTGTCCAGGGCAGAGCTTTTACACGAGAGATGTGTTTCTGAATGTTCTTGATCAATATCCTGAGTTTGGCCAAACTGGTTCGGATGATGATTCTAAGCGTGAGATAGCTGCATTTTTTGCTCATGTTACTCATGAAACTGGAAGTAAGTTCTTCGTTTAGCATAAATTCATATTTGCTATATGTATTAATTACTCTTTAATGTGGATGCCTCCATATTTTTCAAAATGTAGTTCGAGTTTAATATGGATGTCGATTAATGCTTTACTAACGAAAGGAAACAAAATTTTAGTCTGAATATTGTGTATTTAATTAACCATGCATAAATTGTTTGTTTTTTTATTTTGCAGGTTTGTGCAAAATAGAAGAGGATAACAAAGAAGTCTACTGTAATGACCCTAACTATGCTTGCATTCCAGGAAAATCATACTATGGGCGAGGGCCAATCCAACTCACTGGAAATGGTAATTACAAAAGGTCTGGAGATGATCTACAATTCGATGGACTAAACTCTCCTGAACAGGTGGCCCAAGATCCTGTTCTATCTTTCAGAACTGCCTTGTGGTTCTGGAAGACCAATGTTCACTCAGTTGTAAACAACGGTTTTGGGGAAACAATCAAGGCGATTAATCCTGGTGAATATTGCACCAAATTTGGTGTTGAACCTGACCAGAATCTCTCTTGTTAGGTTCTTGCGCCACTTGATCTACTAGTATAGAGAATAATAAGAGTTGTTTCATGAATAACTTAATTAATTGTTTGAGTACCCTCATAGCCTGCTGAAGGTTATATGTATCTGGGACTACACTAATGCTTATTTATACATGCAGATCTTGTTTTACCTGTATTAGAAGATACATATGTGAAAAGTGTTTTCATCTGATATTATTTCTCGCAAAAAGAGTTGTGTAACACAAGGACTTCCTAAGAGGTCACTTATTGGAGTATTAATTGCTCCCGCTTAAGCACTTGGAAGGGATTCCGGTGGAAATCAGTGCTTTAACTATTCCAGTGATTATTGTAATAAATATGGGGTTGATCCTCGGTGGAATATCTCTCTCCTGCAGTCCTGCTAATGTACTATTGTGTAGGGTGGGCATGAAATCCGAAAACCCGACCCAACCTGATTATTCAATTTAGATCGATTTTCCAACTATAAAAGACTAAAACAAGCATATTAGTTCTTAAATACATAAACCGAAAATATCGGTTCGGTTTTTGAGTTGACATAAAAACCCGAAATATCGGACCGATTAATTATGCTTTAATTATTATTGTGATATATGAGTGGTTTATGTGGCAATTGTTTACAAGAAGCTATTGAAGTCAGTGAACTTTGCAAATTTGAGAGAATTTGTTGAAAGAAAAAACAGAAATCTAAAGAGTAAGCTTTTCAACTTTACTGATTCAAATGAATTGAATTACAAAGAGTTTGAAACCCTTAAAAGAGAAAGATACAGAGCTGCTGCAATTTCAGTAAAGTGAAAGTGAGCTGGAGCTAACTCTTACATATTTAAGTGACACTTAAAACGACGTCACTTTGGTAGCATATCAATTAGACCCTTGGTTCTTTGTCATCTGACATTTTGATTCACATGCCCACTCAAACTGAACTTGGGTTAATTTTCAAACAGATCCTTGGTTCTTGTCATCTGACATTTTGACAACCGAACTTCTCCAACTTCATAGTGCTCAATTGAAGCAACATGTATATACAGCCTTCATTAGTCTTCATTCAATCTTCATATATGCAGCAAAACACACAGACTTCATCAGTCTTCATTCAATCTTCATATATGCAACAAAACACACAGACCTCATCAGTCTTCATTCAATCTTCATATATGCAGCAAAACACACAGACTTCATCAGTCTTTATTCAATATTGCAGCACAACACACAGACTCCATCAGCCTTCATTCAATAAATTCCAGCTGCAAAATCAGTCTTCATTCAATCTTCATATATGCAGCAAAACAATCAGACTTCATTAGTCTTTATTCAATATTGCAGCATAACACACAGACTCCATCAGTCTTCATTCAATAAATTCCAGCTGCAAAACACAGAATCCAGATTGCATTCCCACATCAAATACACAGATTTCGACTGCAAATCACACACAAATTCTATTTGCAAAATGCACACAGATTCCAGCTACAAATCATAGAATCCAGATTGCATTCCAACAGCAAAACACACAGATTCCAGCTGCAAAATACACACAGATTCCAGCTACAAAACACAGAATCCATATTGCATTCCCACAGCAAAACACACTGATTCCAGCTGCAAAATACACAGATTCTAGATTGCATTCCCGTAACAAAACTCACAAAATCCAGATTGCATTCCCACAGAAAATACACAGATTTTAACTGCAAATCACACACAGATTCCAACTGCAAAACACACACAGATTCCAGATTGCATTCCAGCTACAAAACACAAAATCCAGATTGCATTCCCACAGCAAAACATACAGATTCTAGAAGAAATGCAACTTTGTACAACTGAATTATCAACTCAGTAGAAAAACTCTCACAGTAGAACCATTTCAGAGAAAAGTTAATGCAGTTTTCAGATACTGCAGATGCAACTCAATCAGCAGAAGTGTTCACATAAACTGAGTCATTTAAGATACTGCAGTAACACAAATACAATCCAGGAAGCAACTAGTTAGGGCAGGAGATAGGAATAACATTAAGTTTCTCCTTTAACTCTTGAAACTGAGCAGTTGAAAGTGCTTTGGTCAAGACATTTGCTATCTGCAGTTTTGTAGGCACATATTGAACCAAAAGTTGTTTAGCCAAGACTTGGTCTCTTATATAGTGAGCATCAATCTCAATGTGCTTGGTTTGAGCATGAAAAACAGGGTTGGCAGCCAAGGCTCTTGTACTAAGGTTATCACACCAAATAACAGGTGCTTGAGGGAAGTTAATACCCAATTAAGAGAAAATACTCTTTAACCAGGCTACTTCTCTTGCTGTATGAGCTAATGCTCTATATTCAGCCTCTGTAGAAGACAAAGCCACAACTTTTTGCTTTCGAGAACTCCACTGAATCAGATTAGGACCCAAGAATACACAAAAACCACTAGTTGATGTCCTATCATCAAGATTACTGCCCCAATCTGCATCAGCATAGCACTCAATACACATTGACACTGTTAGTCTAAACTAAAGTCCATGATCTTGAGTGCCTTTAAGATATCGAAGCACTCTTTTGCAGGCTTGCCACTAAATCTCGGTAGGAGCTTGCAAATACTGACTTAGCTTATTAACAATGAAGCTAATGTCTGGTCTTGTAAGAGTAAGATATTGTAAAGCCCCCACTGTGCTCTTATACAGAGTTGGATCTTTAAAGGAAGACCAATGCCACCTGGATAACCTCCATGAACTTGACTGCCAAAAGGTGGACCATTATAGTGAGAATTATATCTGTGGTAACACTGCACTGCAGTGTGTCCAATCTTATTGCACACCTGGCAAATAGGTTTTCCTTTTGGATTTCCTCTTCCTCTCCCTCGTCCAAAAGAAGAGAAACCAAATGGTCTAAAATGTTGATAAGGCACTCCATACTGCCCAATATTTGCTGAGGCATGGAACTGATCATGTAATGGAGAGATATTGGGAGAGTGAATTCCAATATATGAAGGATACTGATGATGCATGGGATGGTTAGGAACATTTGAAACAGGTTGAGTATTGGAGGGAAAAGTATTTGAGTTTAGTGTGTGTTGATGTAGAGAAATAGATGATGGGGATATTGACGTCGGTAGAACATTGCTCTGAACAGAGTGGGATTAATTGCAGCTAAATTTACAGAGCCATTAACTGAATTATTCAAAAAATCAGCTGAATTGAATCTTTCAATCCTCATTTCATACTTCTGCAACATGTATTGTGCTTCTGGCAAAGTGACTGAATCAAACTTAGACTCCATCCATGATGTGAGATTGACAATTACAGCATCAAACTCAGGACCAAGGCCATCCAAAATAAATCTTAGTAAGTCTTCATTAGAAATGACTTGGCCACTAGCAGACAGACTCTCAGCTATTCCCTTCATTCTTTTAACATAATCATTGATCCTCAGATTTCCTTTCTGAATATTTTGAAGTAATGTTTTTAAGTGAAGAGCTCTGGATTTAGAATAATTTAGAAATTCACTTTCAAGAGTTAACCAAATTGCAGTAGAAGATTGACACTTTGAGATAACTCCAAACATACACTCAGAAATAGACGCTAACAACCAGGTTACTAAGAACTTATCAGTTCGTTTCCAAGAAATGTAATTAGGATTAACTTTTTCCTTTAACCTAATTTCACCTAATTCACTCGATTCTTCATGATCTAATGCAATTAAAGGTGTAGGACAAGGAATCAAACCTGTCAAATGATCTTCAAGTTCATGAGCTCCCACCGCTGAAAGGATTTGCGACTTCCAGAAGCTGTAGTTATCTCTATAGTTGTCTCTAGTTAATTTTGGAGTGACAACTTGAAGATTCGTTGAAAAGGCTAAGCAAACAGAACTGGAGGAGTGAGTCATTCTTTTAGAGCTGGTGCCGGAGTGATTAGCATCTGAAATCTTTGCCATTGACGTTAGTCGTTGGCTTTGATACCAAGTGAACTTTGCAAATTGGAGAGAATTTGTTGAAAGAAAAACAAAAATCTAAAGAGTAAGCTTTTCAACTTTACTGATTCAAATGAATTGAATTACAAAGAGTTTGAAACCATTAAAAGAGAAAGATACAGAACTGCTGCAATTTTAGTAAAGTGAAAGATAATGAGCTGGAGCTAACTCTTACACATTTAAGTGACACTTAAAACGACGTCACTTTGGTAGAATATCAAACAGACCCTTGGTTCTTTGTCAGATACTTGACAAAAGCAAAATAACACACGAACAAGCTGCTCCTTCCCAACTTAAGCCGCTCCTTCTCCTTCCCAACTTGCGCGCCTCTTCCAACCCATTGCTTTCTTCTATGCTGCAAAATTCAGCATAGTCTTTGATTTATTATTATTCTCTTTCATTCCTTTGAAGATTGAATACTTGAAGGCACCTACTAGAGCAAGGTTTTTTAATATTTTTTCCTTCATGCTCTTTGATTTTGTCTGGAGTTTGGTGGCCATGACTTATTCGAAATTCTTCTATGGTTTCAAGCATTTGAAAGATTTATTTTCGTTTCTAGCATTTAGGCTTTGAAGTTATCTATTGTTGCCATTTTAGAGAAAGAATTCATTTGATCTTGAATTTGGTAAACCGAAAACCGACCCGATACCGAACAGTTCCCTTCTCAGATTGGGTTGATTCAGTTTTAAATTTAAAAGACCAAATTATGTTAGGTTTGAGTCTTCGAGACAAACCCAATCCGAACCAAGTGCCAGCCCTACTATTGTGATTATTGAACTTAAATTAATGTAGAGTCTCTTCCTAATAACTTAACCTTTTAAGTGAAATGACAACTTAACATGATATTAAGATCTAAAAGCCAGAGTTTCTGGCTTTTATTTGAAAGGGTTACTAGATTTAAATATGACATTATAACACGATCAAACTGAAAATTTTTGAACTTATATACATCTGTTACACTATGTATAGCTCTATCAACTGCATTTGCACATTGTGTACTTGGACATTGTATTAGTTAGTGCAATAGATTATATACATTAAGTATTTGGACAT